TTCGTTGAATAAATTTGTGAACGAGTGGGAAGGGCGTTTTATACGCGCGTTATATAATAATCCGTTTTATAACTTACATGTAATTCCTTTGCGACGAATCACTTAAATTTCAGCATTGACTTTTTTTTAAATTTGCTCTTCCTATTTTTTTTTCTAACTCCTATTGCTTCTCTCTCGACACTGTAATTCTAGTCATACGTTCGAAATTATATAAATTGTATTTTCGTTGTTTCCTCTTTGATATATGTATATCGTCGCTTTTAATTCGCGTAACGTAACATCACAATTCATACGTTCAAATTTTTTTTATCTACTTTTCCGTCTTCAATAACCGTCGATTATGCGATAGATATCGCTATAAACGCAACTCAAGAGGGATATACATGTAAATTCATCGAAACGAATGGGGAAAGACATACGGACGAGTTCCTCCGTGCCCATACTTAGTATGTACATAGATTTTAATTAGATACGCATAGAGGAAGAGAAAGAGAGATATACATATATATATACGTTATATTATATAAAATTAAGTACAATAATCTATATGAATGTCCATTTAAGTGATTCAATGACACCACGAAGAGGAGAACGAGATATTTTCAATTGTGATTCCACTTAGAATATACTCGATACTTTCTCTTAGAGACCCGCGCTCCTCGTCTTCGGGATATTTCTTCTTCTTTGGTATCAGTGAACTAGATTTTTCCCTCGTTTACTATGTCTTCATACGGAAAGACACCAAGAGCAGGAACGATATTCAGATATTCGTCCCACTCGCTGCCAGCCGCTCAGCTTGTTTAGACGAGCAAAGTCCTTCGAGAAGTTATCGATAAATCTTCCTTTCGTGTCGTCTCGCGATGGTACGGTTCGTTAAAGCTCAGGTACACCCTGATCCCGACGCCCTCGAAAACGAGATAAACGACCGGGATGCCTTCGGCTTATTTTCGAACGGATTTTCCTCTCTAATCGCTAAACGATGAATTAGTTTTTAGGTAAACAAAACGGTGACATACAGACAACGCATAAAGAGCGCGAAATTAATCGTCGGACAGTACTATACCCGTCTTTCCCTTTAATACCAAAACCTCTAGTAAATACACAATGTAAACGAATATTATAATTAATGATAATTATGCGAATGCAGAAATGTGAAAAGAAATAAAAAGGGATAAAAACGAAAGAAGGAACGAAACGCTGCTCCGATTTATGGACAAATATAATATCACGAGAGTCATTCTAAAAAGCGAAAACTAAAAAAAAAAACAAGAAACGACAAAAAAGACAATGACAAAACACGATGAAAACGTTGTGACGAATCCACTGGAGTTTGAGCTTCCCAACTTGAGTCAAGGGTTTTAGCTGCTGCAGCAAGCAATCACAAAGCAAAACAATTATTTGTAATCAAGTAAGAGATTCGCCCGCGCGAATTTCGTGCCGTCGTTCATCGAGGCGATGTATTCGACACGTCGGTGAATCTCTCGGGGGAGAATGACTCCCGAGAAAGAGTCGACGAGGAAACGCGTCGCTTCATTGAACGACGACATTGAATTCGGCAGGTGATTTGTATATGCTGCCGCTTAAAAACAGAATGCTGCTTTGCATGGCCAACGATTGTTCGCTGGATCGCATGAGAAACGCGATTATAAACTCGCGATTAAAGAGAATCACACGCATATTATCTCCGGACGTTAATTCTTAACTGGAGTTCTGCTGTCGAGTTAAATCAAGTATTTCGGCAGGCTACTAATTGAGAATTAAATTGAGAGTTTTTACGGAATGTTACACAGTACCAAGATACTTTTTCAAGTATCGTTGCGTATAAGTAAGTTTTACGTGCGATGCGGAAAATATCTTTTTTTGCCCCCGGGGTATTGTGTCAATAATAATGATTGGAATTTATTCTCATGCGCTCTAGCGTTCATGTTGGCTGGATATGCTCGTGTGTACCTACCTACCTAGCTTTTTGCGCGCTACGCATTTTTGACTCTGCTAGGAAAAGGAAATGAAAAATGAAAAGGAGGGCGAGAAAGAAAAGGAAAATGGTCGATTAGTGATTGAAAAGAAAGAGAAAAAGAGAGAAAGGAAGTAGAACAATGAAATGCGTAAGGTGTACTTTTACTCTGCGGAGAAATCAGTCAGCGCTTCGACTTATAGTCGCGATTGCCACGATTATTCGAATGAGATGGGGAACAAACGGGAACGCTCACTACGTTTCAGCGATTAATCCGCTTAATCGGATTACCCGTTGACTATTGTGTTGGCTATTTCCGAAATTGCGTCCACAAAGTTTCGACGGGACTTATGAGGATTTCATTTATAAATTCAATTCAATTGGCAAAACGTTTAGGGAAAATGAAACATTTTCTTTAAACATTTTTTTCGAAATGTAAAATGTAAATAAAAATCAAATTGAAAAAGAAAAATTATTTTACAGGCATATCTTTTTTTTTATTTAATATAATGATTAAAATATTCAGAAAAAATAATGAAAATCAAAATGAAGGAATAAAATAAGGTTTTATTCCTTTATCTGGCAAAAATATACAGAAGAAAAATTGAGAAATAGAGAGCAGTATATATCTTTTCTATACTTTTCAGTTTAACATGATTACAATATCTAATATATTGGATAAAAATATATTAAATCATAAATGAATTAGATTTTTCTTGAAATTATAGCAAATGAAATGTTTTAGAAATATTGAAATAAGCATTTTTTTTAAAGTAGATTTGTAAAACATCAAATGCAAAAATATATACCATAAAACATCCAGAAACAAAGTTAATCACTGATTTATAAAGAAGTGAATAAAATCCCGCTTAAATAAAATTTTGTTTAAAGTGTTAATGTTGTTAACATTTGAAAGATTTACTGATGAAAAGTGCCTGACGTCACTTGAGGTAGCAAAATGTAACGCGTAAATAAACAAGCAACTAACATCAAGTGTACTTCTTTAAGTGTACTTCTTAAAGTGAAAAGTCTGTAATTTATTAAATAATTTTCATAAATAAGGTTTTTCAAAATTAATTCAAGATAAAATTATTAAATTGAAATAAAATAGCCACGTTCTTTTTTATATTTACTAAAACTGTAAGATAAATAATTACCTACACACACACGTGTATTGAGAAAACTCTGTAACTTCAATTTAATGTAAATTTATGTAAATTTATTTAAATTACTATTATTATTTATTTTATTATACTATTATTTATTTAATTTACTATTATTATTAAATTTACTATTTTAAAAAACTTTATAAAATTTATGTTGCAATATTATTAATATATAAGAAGAAATTTCGATTATTGCAATATGTTTATCATAACTGACTTTTGACTTTGCAAATTTGTGAATTTATAAATTAAAAATTTAGTAGCAAATATTTGTCAGTTGATTATTTTCCACAAATAAAAACTTATCAAATGGTATTTAAACTATGTAATTATAAGATAATCCACAATGGACTTACACAATGGACTTTAATTTCAGATTCGAAATCGTAAAAAGATTAAATATAAGCAGAATGAAAATATATATAACATATAGTTTTTCGATAAATTAGTAAAATATATATAACATAGTTTTTCGATATAACATATATTTTTATTTAATTTTTATTTGTATTTTTATTTCACAGTAAATCGGCCATGATATTTAAATAAAAGCAGGTCCTTCATCGAATAATAATTCGAATATCGCGAATTAAATATAAAAGTGTTACTGGATTTCTTCGCAGAAAAACCACCTTGAGACTTCGTGTGTAAAATGTTTCCCTTGTCGGTACGTAATAATTCGCACACAACGAGAAGTCATATAAGCGCAAAAGGAAAAGAAAAGTAGCGAGAAAGAAAGATAGTGGAAGGAACGAGATGAATTTTTGTATGGAACAGGAGAGAAGCAACCGGATGTTTCATATATACATACCTACGTATAGTATACGTGGGATACGTATATGTGAATACTTTCCGAGATTGAGCAATCGCTCCCTCGATGCTGTGCGCGATTCTTCAAGAGAGAGTTCCTTTTATTCAGAGTACTATTATATATGTATATATACGTGTATGTATGCAGACTTTTTTCCCCGAATATGCGGGCGATTTTCCTCCAGCTGGCATGCAAATCGATCAGAAAAAAAAAAGAAAGAGGGCAAAGGAAAAACATATTTTGATATGAGGAACAGCGGCGAGTGTCATCTCCCGCCACGTGTCGCGCAGCGATTTTTGATAATTGTCAACGGCAGAGGAATGCCCCTTCCCCCCGTCCCCCTGTGTAAAAGCGATTAACTTATATTTGCAAACATAATGGAAAATTGTCTAGATAAAGAAAAAGAGAAAAAAAAACAATTAAGCGACTTTCTAGATAAAGAGCCTTGACATTGGTAGTTCGATGTTGATGGATATTAAACTTTCGACTAAGCTAACGAGGAAACTCTATATAGTATTTT